TCATCGTACGCTTCACAGCTCTTCATTAGGCATATAAGTCCTCTGGCTAACAAAATTATTAGATTCGTTTTCTTCTCAGAGGTGATCCTGAGCTGAACAAGCATGGCGTCGGAAAACTTACAGGAATCAACTATGCAAGTGAGGCAGAAGCTTACAAAAAGCTTTTGATCAAAAATCAGGATGCGCCAACCGTTCGAAAGCTCCTGCAATACTGGAACATGCAAGTTTTTCCACAATTCCTCCTCACTCCCGACTCACAGGACGAAGAAGAAGAAGCACCATGTGTCCAGGTTGATGCTGATGAAAACCCAGGTCTCGATTCCATGTTCTGTGGACTGTGTATGGGAGCCGATACTTCTTCAGCTCCCACTTCGAAAAATTCTAGCTCGCTCCCACTCCCCCAGACCCTTCCAACCGATGTAGAGTGCGTGAACGCCCACTCAGATGTGGAATGGGCACCGGATTTGCATCCAAACGTGGAAGCGCACACCCCTGCTCCTGTCGCGCCCATCTCCCAATCAATCAATCCACCCCATGGACGTTGTCGAGTCCCCACACCAGTTCCCTCAACCTCCAAGGCTGTTGCTGATGTGCCTGCGCCACCCGCTAAAGCTCCCCATGGTCGACACCCAAAACAGGTTTCGGTTGTTCAAGTTGATGCTGATTCAGGTGCCGGATGCAGCGCTCGCTCGTCCAAGTCGGCAGACGCGTGGTGCAAAATCGAAGGCAAATGCGAAGTAGCTGGGTCCAGCATTGTGAGGGCATCGTCGACGAGCAGCCGTTGAACGGCGATTGAGCATGCTGAGCTACTACATCTGCGTTGTATCAATGTCTAGCTACTGCAATTGACTGGATTCACTTGTTTATTGCATTATGGACCGACTTTTTTACTTATTACTGTTCTTTCACCTATCTAGCTAAGTTTACGAGGAGCGAGAACAGCGCTCTGTATCAACTGTATTGTGAGCCTAGCGCTCGTCATGACAAATTAAGCTAGATATTATTGCTAAATATGCCCCCATAACCAAGTGGTAACTATAGCCAAGTCAGTAAGCACGTCATAACAAAGTAAGTAATCAATAGGTTCAGAGTTTGATTCCCTCTAATAACAATTGTTCAACAGTACAAAGTAACAACACAACTACAAATCCGCAGATCGACTAGTAAGAAAATCGCACATTACAATTGAGCTACAAGCTCACTACAAATTTTTGTTTCATTTACAATTGAGTGGTACCTTACAATTGTCCCTTTGTGTTAAAATGGTCACGTCTTGTATTATAGTACATTTCTCCTTGATTATAATTGGATTATAATTCGTTCAGGTGATTACGTGCCTTACCTGCCTTATAAGGCTTCCCGGGTTTTTCCGACAAAGTTTGTGGGTTTGGCAATGGAGAGAAGGGAGGGGAGAGAGAATGCGCAGAAGGTGTATGCGTTTTGAGGTGGTTTTGCATGCATATAGGCACTTGAGATGGGATGGCGATGCTATCAGAAGGGTTGCTCATACCTTTGCCTCGGTCTTGACGACAATATCTTTACTCAAAATGGCCTTCGCCTCTCCGCACCACGACCCGCCCCTCGTCCCCTACCACAGCTACCAGCCTGGTGCCATCTCCCGACTCGTTCAAGTTAATGCTTACGGACGTTTCTTACAAATTCCCACACCCACCCATACTAACTCCCTCCAGTTATGTTAGTCATCATGGCCCAATAGTGATGGGCCACCGGCCCTGACAAACAACCATGTGGTAAGGGCCCAGCCGGCCCGGCCGGTTTGATGGTGGGGCCCCAATATGGAAGGGGCGGCCAGACCCTGTACAATCACCCAGTAACCATGGGCTGGCCGTCAGCAACAATGCCCCATATGATTGGAGTAGCCGGGTGTACCTTGACTGCCATATCCTCCTGCAGAGCTGCCCTCCACCGGGGCTAAATATTGCACCGGCGGTGATGATCATAATGAACACTTAGAATTACAAGCCTGGCTCATACAAATCATGCATAATATTGTCAATCTATGTATGTTGTTTGCTATGATTTGATTGGAGCTACTAAGCACTGCACATTGCCTCCAAAAGAAATGATAACATTTTTATAATGTTCTGTCAGGAGAGGCTTCATGCATTTCCTTTGCCAAAAGTGTTTAGTTCAACCAGTGAGGCAAATGTTTCACCACTGGTGATGTAATTTTTTTATGATACTCCGCCGGACCACTCCACCAGTGACATGAAATTTCTGTAAGACCCTCCACTGGACTAAACACCACACATTGCCTCTGCGTAAATGACAAATACTGGATTGATCTGTCAGAAGAGGCTCCACACATTCAATCTGCAAAGGTATTTAAGACCTGGGTGGAGTAATGCAATATTTCTTAAAGACAACCCCAGCAGAGCAATGCAATATTTTATAATGACTCCAGTGGAGCAATGCAATATTTTTTTTAACAACTCCGGCGGAGCAATGCAATATTTTTTGACAACGCTGGCGGAGCAATGCATTTTTTTTTTTAACAAGTCCGGCGGAGCAATGCAATATTTTTTGACAATGCCGGCGGAGCAATGCAATATTTTTTTTAACAACTCCGGCGGAGCAATGCAATATTTTTTTTAACAACTCCGGCGGAGCAATGCAATATTTTTTTGACAACGCCGGCGGAGCAATGCAATATTTTTTTTAACAACTCCGGCGGAGCAATGCAATATTTTTTTGACAATGCCGGCGGAGCAATGCAATATTTTTAATGACAACTCCGGCAGAGCAATGTATATTAAAGGGAACTAATGAAAATGATAACCAAGTGTTTCAATCAATGAGGAGAGTATCTGCTGGTAGCATAAAAGAAAAATGAAATGCTTAGGTAGAGCAATGGAAATTTCTTTTGTGACTTCGATATAAAAATGAAATTCCTTCTTTTTAATAGCTCTGCTGGAGGTCTAGAGCAATATATATATATATCATGAAGCTCCATCGAAGAAGTGCTGTTTTTAAAAAAAGACTCTGGCAGAGAAGTGCAAAATGATTCAATGTATTTTTTTTAATGACTCTGTCGGAGTAGTGCTTTTCTTTTTGAGGCATTAAAAGTGGAGTACCACAAAAACACAAAGCTATTTAAGTACATCAGCAGGGCAATCCTTTGGCAAATATTACTCCGTTGGTGATGTAATTTTTTTTGTGATGCTCCGCCGGACCACCATGCGGGACCAGCCTACTGCACATTGCCTCCGAAAACATAACAAAAATTTTATAATAGAATAAATTAAGTTCATTGGCAGGGCAATCCTTCTGCAAATATTGCTCTGTCAATGATGTAATTCTTTTTACAATACTCTGATGGACCACCATGTGGGAGCAGTCACCACACATTGCCTCCACAAACATAGCAAAATTTGTATAATGGCCTGTTACAATGAGTTTCACACATTGACTTCAAAAAGATATTTAACTACACCAGCAGGGCAATCCTTCCGCAAATATTACCCCACCGGTGATGTAATTTCTTTTTATAATATCCAATAGGACCAGCCACCACACATTGCCTTCACAAATATAATGGCCTATCTGAATGAGCTTCAGACATGTAGGTAATTAAGTACACCGCAAGGGCAACCCACCAACAAACATTTCTCTGCCAGTGATGTAATTCTTTTATCACACTCTGCAGAACCAACCTGCCATCAACCTCTGCCAAATTTTTATCCTCTGCCAAGCTAAGCACTGCACATTACCTCCTAAAACACCACAAATCTAATGGTCCTTCAGACAATATGAGCTCTGTTGCTGATAACCAGAGCTAACCAAGTATTCATCATGCAGGGCCACATATTGTGAAAAGGCATTGCCGCAACAGGGATGGTCCGGTTATCCTGCTTGTTCCTGGGCAGGGACCCATCAAAGTTGAAATCTGTGCCTGGGTCATTTCCAAATTGAGGTGATGCGCCTGGTGCACAGACCCTCCACTGGATGCAAACAGACCCTGCATCCCGATGAATAGCAACGCACTCACCCAATTTCAAGCCATATAACCTCCAAACCAGCCAGTTGATAGACATAGCTGCCATGTTAATTACTATGTAAAAATCTTTGAGAGATGTTTTGTTTTCATAGACAAACATAGGAAAAGGTGTTTTACGTCAATAATCTCTATCAAATCTTGACTGCATTATGGCATTGCAATGAAAATCATCAAAACTTTTTTTTCCTTCTGAACAACTTATCATCGGGCCTAGCTTGTTGGAATCGTGCTTTTCCAAGCTTTTCAAAGGTGGTTCTTATATGGGTTGAAGCTCATTATTACATTTTGTGGAGCTCAAACAATGTGTGAAATGCTATATTTTACAATAAAACCATCAAGACTTCTCTCTTCCCCAAACAACTTATCATCGGGCATAGCTTGTTGGAATCATGCTTTTCCAAGCTTTTTAAAGGTGGTTTCTACATGGGTTGAAACTCATTATTAAATTTTGCGGACCGTAATGTGTTTTTATTGGAAGGTCCTCTGCTGGTGTATCACATTCAGCTGTATTTGTGGGACCCATAATATATACAATAGTTAATGGAGGCTGCTTGGGTTCCAAAAGAATTGTTAAAAGTACATGTAGGTCTGCAATGGGTCACATTCATGGTGTTTAACTGACTTCTGCAACCTTATTGTTATGTGGAAGCATTGTAGTACATTTACAAGGTGCCCCACAATTTGAGCTGGCAGACGATGATATGCATCCTCCCCATGACAGTCCTCATGGTGTTTGAGTGGCTTCTGTGGCCCTATTATTATGTTAAATCTTTATAATATATTTACAAGGTGCTCTGCATTTTGCCCAAGGTGGGCCGCAATTTGCGCCGTCGGACAATGATGTGCATGCTCCGCAGGAGTCGCTGTCAGGGAGAAGTACGGCTGCCTCAAGCTGATGGGTGATTGTAACGATCACGGCTGTACCAATCACTAAGAGACAGTTTAGAAAACCGGCCGGTCCGGCTGGGCTCATGTTACATGAGTGGTTGTCACATCCAGTTACTACATTAGGTACGGGACATGATGCATGATGACTAACATATGTGCTCCCTCTTCATTTCGTTCTTGCGCCTCCCCCACCTCGTCTGTCTCATCTTCATATTCAAACCCGAGTTCGAGGTTCGGCACGTTGCCACCTACACTGTCGACGTTAGACGCCGGGTACGCGCTCCGGGCAAGTGAAGCGGGAGGCCCGGGAGGAGGGTTGCGGAGCGCGCAGTCGTGCTACGCAATATTCGCTGCATTCCACGTCTTGCCCCGGGGAATATGTGGAATCACATCTCGGTGTATAGTATGTAGAGGAGTCATTAGGACTCGGGTTCCTCGAGTTATAAGCCAGACGTTGTTGCTCTTTTACCTCACAGGCGCCATTTGCCTTTCTTATAAAGATCAGCCTGTGGAACTTTCGAACCTAACCCAGGCTAATTTCAAAAGACTGGAATATACATCGAGAAAAAAAGAACACGAATTGCAAGGAAGTCTCAGGATAAAGTCACGACCTCTAGGGGCTACATTGACAAGCGAATTAATCAGTAGCCAAGGTAGGAACTCACTGTAGTGAACAACTGCAAAACAAATGTAAGAAAATCCCGCCCTTATGTAAACTAAGGGAGCAATGGGAACGTACAAGCTTTCTTTCCAGAACTATTTATTCCCACATAGCAAGGGCATTCTATCCCGGAAAGATTAGTAAAAACTAATATCTCAAAGACCGACAAAAATACCATGGTGAGCCTTGCCATATAGCTTATTTTTGACAACTCCGTCTGTTTGAAGGATCTCTCCAGCCGCCACTGAATGCCACGCGGCACCATGTTTCCCGCCATCTAACCAACATGATGAGAGGCAACACAGTATTCCTTACAATTCTTACTCACCCCAGTCATACCTAACTGTAAGGCATTTCGAAAAGGAAGGACGAGTCTCCGGTGCCGTCGTTTTATCAGAACCGTTCCGTGAATATGTGAACACTATCGGCTGACCCTCCTTCAAGCCTGGACAATTGTCAGTGAGAAGGGCGATGGCATCGCCATCGTTCAAGGTAACCTCTCCATCCTCGTTTTCAAGCAACTGAACGTCGTGACCAAAGACCCCTTCTGCATGAATGAGACGATCTTTTAAGGAAGCGACTGTGTGAGGTGGCGGAATGTCAATGCAACCCAAAGAAGAATCGCTCTCGTCAAACGACGTTTTCGACACAACTTCGCCATTGTCGTCGTAAAGTCGGTAATACACTGGTGAGCATCAGAGTTTGAACATTTTTGAGAACAAAAGCATAAAGGCGCACCATAACGTTGTTCAATCTTCTGTGCAGGCAATTCATTCGAGCCTGCATTACTCACAGACTTTGGTCTCTTCTCGGCGGCGCCCTTATTAACAACGAAAACTACAGGGTCAATCTGAGATGATCCTGGGCCAGAGTTCCCTCTGAGCGCTAGGCGAGCAGAGTCATCCACAGGCTTCGTTTCTGACAGCGACAGATACAAAGCAACCTTTTCCGGGCCTTCCACGCCCTCAACCTTGCAGACGTACCTCTTCAGCGAGGCGGCCGTATGAGGGGGCCTCACTGATTTAGAGGAGATACGACTGATGGAGCGATAATTGGAGAAGATCGGGTTGTTTGATTTGAGTGGGCCTCCTTTGTGACTGGTGTATAACCGATAGTATACTGCGCGCATTATGTGAAATAGAAGATATATATGACGAAAAATACGCACTATTACGGTGTTCGCTAGCGCTTTTCGTCTGAGATATGTAATTTATGGTATCAAATCAAAAGTGCATGGACTGACACAAGTGACAACACTTACCGGCTCAGTTCCTCCCTGACCATCCAGAGACGCTTGGCCAGCGATATTGATATTGTCATCTTTATGCGCTCCGTCGCCGGTGTGCATCGTGAGGTTGTGAGTCGCAATGCTGGTTGGAACGAAGTTTTCTCATGGTGCCTCGCAGTCACAGGCTGAAGCGCTCAACACCGGCGATAGCCGACGACACTCATCTCTTTCTTCCTCCTTACAGTTTTGGTTTGGTGCCATCTGGCCCTCTCAATCCACGACATGTGGTTAGTTTTTTTTTTCGTTATCCCCTTGCGCAGATAGACATGCAGTGGACGACAAACAGAAAAGTAAAGCCAACTACGTCACTACGATGACCACCGCCAGGACACCTCGTTTTCCGTTTTGCCTGACTCACGCCATGCTGCCAGATTATGCTCCTACCGCAAACGCTACGCCAGCGAACGATGACCTTCGAAATTTGCGACTCCCTAAGCCTTGACGTCGTGTGGGATATTGGTGGGATACTACTAGTAAGATGTTGAAAGGTCTGCATGGACACCCATATCATTATGGACCAAGATAAGACTTCACATTACGCCGCTAGGGATTTTTCCGTTTCGTAAGGCAGGAATTTTTTCAAAATTAAGAGTTCGTTCTGCAGCCCATGCAAGTTTTCCAACGATGAAGATCATGATTCTATTTATAGATTTTGCCCCAGCTCGCGTCTCTCCGAAGAGTCTCAAGCGATAATTCCCCACCAAGACTCGCAATCACCTTCCAACAACTATTTCTTCAGCGAACAATGTCACCCCTCCTCTCGAACCTCGACGCATCGTGTCTCGACATCGACACCTCCCTCCAATACATCTACTTCACAGTCGATGACATCCAAAGGGCGACTCACCGGCGTCTTCCAGAAAGTAAGCAAAATCGGAAGAGGTTGTTAGAGGATTTGGAGCTCGTGTTCGGGTTTAAGAAAGACGATGCATTGACGGAAGGGCTGTGCACGAACTTAATGGTTGTTGCGTCTGGGGCGCGAGCGAAATTGATTGCAATGGCGGTGAAGGAACAGGCGCAGAAGGACGATCGGAGGGTTGCGTTGGCTGTCTCTGCGAATTTGGATGCGCCGTGGTTGACGAGGTGTCAGAGGATTGTTGGGGAGCCTGGGTTTGAGAAGTTGGTCTCGGCGGATGGAGTGGGGTGAGTGCGTTTCACGGCATCTTATGTCTTGACTCAGATTGTGATTGTTTTTTTTTTTGAATTCGAGAAGAAGGGACGATGACGCTGGGCTGATTTCTGGTTCGTTTCAGATGACGATAAAAGTTTGTTGTTTCTTTCTGATTTTGACGTCCCTACCTCTTGTGTGGATGGCAGGGAAAGGCAGGGGCACGATGGGTGCTAAAAGGTTTGCTTTCAATTTTTGTCCTCGTGAACGGAAGCGTTGACGTTGTTCGTAGATTTGAATGCGTCTGCTGCACCGATTCATTTAAGCCCGAAGAGGTCCTGCGCGCTCCCTGTCAGCACTATTACTGCAGGACCTGCGTCACCTCGCTAGTCAAAGCATGCACGAAGGACGAATCGCTCTTCCCCATAAAATGTTGCAAGAAACCCATCACAGCAACCTCTCTCCGAAGTCATCTCGAAAGCGACGACCTTCGCGACCTCTTCTCCCTAAAAATAATCGAGTACAACACACCCGCGACTCGGCGCGTGTACTGCCCAAAGACACGGTGTTCCACATTCATGGGATCCCTCCCCAGCTCGTCAACGAGGGAAATGACGTGTCAGAAATGTCACGCGCAAGCGTGTGGGATTTGTCGTGGGACCGCGCATGTGGGTAAAGACTGCCCGCAGGATAAAGGGTGCTTGGAGGTGAGGGAGATGGCGAAGAGGGTGGGGTGGCAGACATGTCCGAAGTGTATGGCGGTTATTCAGAGGGTTTGGGGGTGTAATAGTATGGTGTGCAAGTGCGGGACGAATTTTTGCTATGGGTGTGGGGCGACGATGCTGGTTTGTAAAGGGTCTTGTGCGAAATCTGCTGCTTATTAGGATAGAAGGAGAAGAAGAAGTAAATAAATTATTTTGTTTGGTTTTTTTCTTGGTCCGTAGAGCAGCAGACGAAGTGAGCTGATGGGATCAGAGGCAGAAGCGCCCCTCCGTTGTTTGTTCTCAACGAATGACGCAAACACTTCCTCTTCCCAACCCTTATCATGGCCTCCTCCATGTCGTCGGCAACGGTCCTATCAACGGCGTCAGCCTTACCCACCAGCACACAAATCGTCTCTGACCAAACGCCATTCGACCGCTTCTTACCTCAACTCGAGTCCGCCTTTGCGTTCCTTGTCCAAGCACTCAAATTCGGGTCGCGTTTCTCCCGCCTCATCGGCGCCGCTCTATACGTCATCGCACCCGTAACGACCTTCCTCGAGCTCGTCGTCACCCTCTTCATTACGACGCCATATCATGCTGCTGCGTACCTCCTTGAAGCACTTTACCCGATCTATGTGTTTCTTGGTGTAGCGATTATCACTGGTGGTTTGTTAGGGATCATGGGCCGAGTGGTGTCTATTGTCATTGTGTATGTGGTCGCTGAGCGGAAGAAGGCGAACTCGGAGGAGGAGGATGAGGAGGTGAAGTCTGAAGATGAGGACTTGGACGGTGTCCAGAGGAGGGTCAAGTTTGAGTCGTGAGGTGGATGCCCTGGTTGGCGGTTAACACCGCGTTGCTAGGTTCGTCATCTGCTTGCCCCACATACTTATATACACACTTTACTCCTTTCTTTGTGCAACAGACTCATTAATGCCACCGCTGCATGTTGCCCGTTTTCAATCAGGCTCCAAACACGCTCGTACAGGCTGATATCTTGGAATTCGCAGACACACTACGCGCATATGCGTGTAAACCGCGCTTCTTTAGGAATTGGAATGCAAGGCTGCGAGAGAGCTTCTGGGGTGAACTCGAGAAATTATACCCTAGTGACCACGTGGTTGTAAATTATGTAAATTATCGATTGTGCAGCACGCTGTTCTCGACGGCGACGAGGAGTCACCTCGTCAACCTCAACAAACTCACTACACCACCTCAAGGCCACCATTCTGGCTCAAACAACTCTTCTTTGGCTAGGATGCAAACCTTCCTTTCGCCAGTGACGACGACCTCCTCTCAGCCACTGGACACCGGCGATTCCATCCGAGCTTCAGTCGGCCATCTGCTCACCAGGGCGTACTCTCTCCCCTGTTCAACCGCAGCGATGGCCTTTAATCAGCTCGTACAACCCACATCGCGATTTCAGCTGGCTCTTGACGCGTTGTTGCCTCTTTTAGATTCAAATACCACTGCTGAGGTTAGTCGCCCCGTGGCGCTTGTTTAGCGCTCGACTGACCAAATTCATCAGCTTGCGAACCGAATTCTGGTTTCTTTCATTCTGTATTCATTATATGCACCACATCCTATCGCCGTCAACCCTTTCAAGTCTGCCTTATTCGTTGCCTATCTCAAGGAGAGGGAAAAGGCCGTCAAAATCTCCACTGACGGCAGTGTTAGTCCGAACGAGCAGTTGGTCTGGGTGTTGTGGAAGATTTTAAAAGGAGATGGTAACGATGTCAGTGTCCAACATTTCTTACGAGATGCCCATCTCACACACACCAGATTGGTCCTTATTCCCCAAGCACGCTGGCACGCTCCCCATTGCCAACCAAACTTAGAGCAATTAATCTCGTGCTTGATGACGAACTCTGTAGCACTATTTCTGACCTGTACGTTCCCTTCCCATCTCTCGACAACCAATCTCACCCCATCGCACAGAGACGACTCGACATATTCTTATTTTCAAAATAAACGCAGGCAATCGGCCTCCTCCGATCTCAACGAACAAATTAAACCACGCGTCGTCTCACCCGAATACGCTGCTCTCCGATCTCCCATCACGCTAGAAGAAGACAGGGGCAACGAACGGCTCGTACACGCCATCAAGCTCCTTCTCGCTTCTCGAGAACGCGTACTCACACTTTCCGAACAACGCGTACGTACGCTCGTCATTCACTTAACACATCACGTACTCACCCCTACACAGATCCTGGCACCCATCATCCCAGAAGTCGCCTCCTCCCGCCTCGTAGCCTCCCTCGACCTAACGCCCATAGCCGCATACAACCCCACCATCGCCCACCCGCTCTTCGTCGGCCTCTTAACGAGCTCTAACCCCGAACACAACAACCCCCTTCCCTTTCTGGACGTTCTCCCCTTTTTGCCGCCGACCCTTGCGACGTTTGATTTGCTTGGAAGGCTGTTGAGGGATTCGACGAGGGTTAGTGTTCCGGGTTATGGGAGTGTTGCGGAACTGGTGAGGGTCGAGGTGTTGGGGAGGTTCGTGCATGAGGCTATTAATTGGTTGGATTGTGCGGAGCGGGAGGAGAGGGAGGGGTTGATTAGTGATGATCGATTTGCGAAGGGGGTTCAGAATGTGTGTTTCCTTTTTCCTTTTTTCGATTAATGATTGACGATGTGTGTTAGCTATGCAGGTTCTACAACTCGTTGACGAAGCTATCGATAGTTGACCCGGCGGCTGACACGGACTCTGCTGAGATGGCGCATTTTAGCTTGAGGAATGCAAGGCTTGAAGAGGCTAATGCGTTGTATCGCGTGCTTGCTAGGGGACGGTACTGATTCTGGTTTCTCATCGCATCAAGTTTTAACCTATGAATATGCGACTCCCCGCCCCTCCCTAGACTCTTTTTATGATTGTCTTACTATGCGGTTTGATATACTTATGCTGATGAGGTCTATGTTTCTCGTACATGCGTTCCTCCTGCCTCCCCTGCTGTATCGTTGTCATGTTATTTAGTCCATGCAATGTTTCGTGGCTTACTTGCAGTATTGTCGGTTTTTGAATCAATGCTTTCAATTATGATGTATCTATCCTATCCCGTCGTCGTTGTCGCTTTTATCTAGTACTATACACAGTCATGTGCGTATGGATCAGGATATGCAGATCATTTCACTTTCTGTGTCATTCCCTTGCTCCTGCTCTTTTCAAAAAATTCACACATGTTTATTTAGTTAGTATATAAAATATTGCTCAAGTTTTGATGGGATTCATGAGGCGTACGAAATGTGAGAATCCAAAGAGTGAGATTTTGGAAGGTTTTGGCCGCCAAGTTGAACACTTGCTGTACTAGGCTTACTCCCAGTTTTTCTTCCATAGGCACTGTCTAATATCAACACCAAGCATACCTTTCAAATTTCAGGCAACCAGGATGAGTGGAAGTCGTCAAAATCGATTTTGAGAACCAAATGTCACATTGAGCTTGTTCCTCAGGTCGGCAACGCTGTTGGAGCCTCGGACATCGTCCAAAAATTCTCAAAATTTGGAAGGGTATATAAAATTGCATTGGCTAGACTATAATAAAATTTCTAGGATGCACGGTATCATGTTGAAGCTACGTCAACGGAAAATCCAAATACCTGCACATCCCGACTATACGCAGTCATTAGGTCGTTCATGAGACCGGAAACGTCATATTGATAGCAGAGGGAAATGATTATGTATAGCCAGCAGCTCCTTTCCGTGATAAGGGTACTATAGCTTTAGAGACGATTCCGAGTGCAACGTTTGCATGCAACACGAGAACAGTTCCTACAGATCTAGAATAACGGGCGAAAATCAACAACTATCCGGCGGCGTCAAGGAGGATGCAACATACCTTCAAAAAGTAGTGATAATAAATTCCGCATTCCCCACACGTTCCTCTAGGGCAGTCATCCCAAACATGACTGACACATTCATGATTCTCATGCAACGTCCGAGCCCTCTGCTGCACCAGCTCCCGGAACAAGAGCGGTTGCTCTACCCTGACAGCTACCCCCACCTCATTCTCCACTCTCTGCTCAGCAGCCACCAGCAACCTCCGATCATCCCACTGATCGCATCCGCAGTTCTTCCACGGCACAGCGCAGAGGTAACAAAACTGTGTATGGCACCTGCACGTCATGTGGTAGCACCCGTGCTGCAGTTCAACGATCGCATGGCACCCTGGGCAAGTCTGCCAGTGCTCGGCTAGTGCGAGTGCCTTGAGCTCTTTGACTGTGGCGTTCTCGCTACAGTCTCCTGCGTCGTGCCCGGCTTGCTTACATGAGGAGCAAGTCAGGCTTTGGCATTGCGGGCAACGGATGGCGGTGAATGCTGCAACGGCCTCTGATGATCCGAGGAAGGCGGAGCAGGTTGGGAGGACGCAGTAGACACGAGTTTGCGCGGGCGTGCCGAATTCACGTAGCTTGACGTCAAAGAGAGAACGAAGACGAGCATTGAGGAAGGTGGAGGCTTGTTCGGGTGGAATGGGTTGTTGACAGCATCGGAGCGGAAAGAGGGATTCGTCCCGTGTAAAAGCTTCGACCAAGGAAATAATACAATCTCTGCAGTAGTGGTGGTCGCAGGATGTGTGCAAGCACTCTTGAAAGCGGATGTAGTCGTTACAGACCGTGCAGGCGACCCTGGGAAGAAGCATGAGCGTTAAGATGAACTAGAGGATGAAAAATATCCTCAACCTTTTGTGCCGATCAATGCTGGGGCCAGCAGCTGGGGTTTGGGAGATGTTCCTTGACGGGGTGATCGCCGCTTCGCCTATCCCTTTATGTGTGCTATCTTGCCTATCGACTTGGTTTGGCGTCGCTCCTACAGTGCTGGAAACACTAAAATGAGCGTCAGGCTGACCAACGACGGGATAATACATACTGGGAAGGTGGAGTTTCAACAAAAAGCGCTGGATCCTCAAGCAATTTCTGCGTCGGAGTGGGCTCAGGCAAATCACCGCCCTGCGACAAAATCTCCGCGACACGATGGTCTTCCACAGCTGCTTCCTCCATAATAGAAAAAGCATTCAAAGTATTCTGATCCGTTTGAAGAGCAGCACCGATGCTTCTGGCCAGTTTAGCGTCCTCGAGAAACGTGCGCCACTCATTCAGTTGTTCATTCTGAATTTCAAGGGCTATCTCATGGTCCGAGCGCGGCTTGTCAGCCCGGCCTTTACCCTTACACGCGGAGGTGAGTTCTTCGAGGTCTTGCTGTGCAAGCTGGGCTATTAGGAGCGTTGTTTCGAGGTCGGCTTCGTAGATGGATTGTTCTTGATCAAAGAGTGAAAGAGAAGAACCCGACGACATCGTAGTCCCAAGTTCGTTCAGGGTGTATTGTCTCGCGATTCAGCTCCAGGACGTTTGTACGAGCGGTGTGGGGCTGGAAAGCGAGACAACTGCCGAATGAATTTAGCACCAAGTACTGTGAAGAGTATTTAGATAGGTACCCACAGGCGTCTTTTGCCTGAACAATCGATCAAACTATATCGAAGCCCATCTATTGGTTGTTCGAAAAGAGTAATTCAACATTTCGTCTTTCATGCTTTAGCCCATCGTTTGCTTGACGGTTTTTTCAATAATATTACCTACTCACTGGCAGGAGGAGGAAATTAAAACATAGACAACCCAATTACAACAGTGAGCATTTACTCGCTTTGGGTTGGAACGGCAGCCAGACTTGGAGTCGTGTTGGTCAAGCACTAGGTTCAAACCTCACGTGTGGTCGGTATCAATTGAAACACGTGCCGACCACATTTCTGTCACGGAATCTGCCGGTGGGAGCCCTGTTCGTGCGACACACAAAAGCTACATAACCGCACATCGCGGCCACTTCTCGCCATTTGCCTCACGGACATACATCAAACAACTGTCTCAGGAGGGGTTGAAGCACAAGGCGTGGAAACTCACTGTTTACGCCAGCAAACGTCCGGCACTTACATACGCACAACTGCAGAAAAGTTACCGAGACCGTGACAACCCGCAATTGAGATTCTACCTCCATCTTCCCACCTTTAATTTGTGCATCTTTCTGGTCATTTTCTAAGGAGATAGTGCTGAACCTGCACTCGAATTAATTATTACTGGATGGACACGAGGTGCGACATAAATGTTGATTGTATGGAACGGTCAGACACCTGTCAGCTCGCAGCGCATGCACGACTCGGGTTTTGCGCGGACGGTTTTCACTCTCCGCTTTCTGGCCCTTATCATACGCTCGCCCTTGAACAAGTTGATCCCGGACGGTCCCAGTGCATGGGCTCAGTGGCTTCGGCGCGCATCTTCTCTCATTGCATCGGTTTTTGCCAATGAAAGTGAGTCCATATTTCTCCCCAATTCACAATCCAATTTATGTAGAATTAACTTTCAAGGTGGAGGGGTGGTAGCGTGACTGAAAATGACGACGTTCAGTCTGGGATTGGCATCTTGGCCCTTGATACAGATCTTCTCCCAGCGTTAGAAATGATGGACACAGAGCAATGTTTGCAGTTTTAATTCCGGTCCCCACTTCTTCTAATAAGCTATATCATGTCAAGGCACTGAGCAGAACCCCTTCTCCGCCCTCGTGCTTCCGATTCCACATCATTTCAGACATGACGGTGCTCGCTGAGCTCATAAATTATGTGGCTGCACAACGACTTGCTACGGTGCGTATCTACATCTCCATAAAGTCCTCCTTCCCCTCTAACGAAAGAAAAACAGTCTTTCGATGGTAAGCCGCATAGGACGATTTAAAGCTTATAAAGCCGATGAGTCTTCGCAGTTGCGGCGGCGATGTTGTTGGTATACGACTGCTTACTGACGTTGGGGATGGAGTTTGAGTTTGTGTGGTCATCACCATGGGGGTTTATGAAAGTGCTTTATATCGTTCAGCGATACTTGCCTTTCTGTGACACGATTTTTCTCTGTCTGACTCGTGAGTACATGGATACCTCTCTCTTTACAATATTTCACTACCTTCCCTTCAAGACCAATTGGCGGTAGATATCGACCCATACACCTGCCATATTGTTGAAACGATACGAGGATGTACGCATTCTGTTTAAAACGTGGTCGTTTGGCTCATCGTATCATAGGGTTGATGATTTTTGGCTTTATTTTGTCTGAAGGTGCGACTTCTCTGCATTTTAGACTATCCGACGTGCCTAATGGTGGCTTTTCATAGTAATCTTGACCCTACGCGCATGGGCAGTATGGGAACGAGATCTACGTCTGGGTGTCTTTCTGTTATCCCTGTTTACGCTCACGACTGTGGCGGAGATATATGTGACGAATTTCTTCCTTCGCGGCCTGCAATGTGTGTCCACCATCCGTCATATTGTATTATCATCCCACCACAGCTGACACTTCATGTCAAGTTAGTACAAAGCCATATCCAGAATATGTCGGTTGCTTTCCCACCGGCGGAAATCGCATGGTGTACTTGGATTGGGTTACATTAATGATTTACGAAGCTGGTAAGCATTCATTTCTACGTTGGTGTACGGCATCTGCAACTAATTGTCTCCCAGTAATACTGGTCTTGATGATAATTCCTGGAATTGCTGCCTGTAAGAGACATAAATTATTTAGTTTTCTGTATGCTCACAAGCCACCCTTCCAGATCGGCGAGGAGGGAATATTGATCTACATCACGTCATATATCGCGAAGGTTAGATATTGAATTTCACTGAAAGAGATGTATCTAAATTGCCTTCAAACATAGGGATAATAATGTATATCTACCTTTTTGGTAAGTGATGGTTGGCACGGCACATTCATTATGTGCTAAAGGAGCAATAGCCCTTTCAATAGTCAATGTCATAGTCGTGTGCGCACTCTCTGTAAGCCTATACATTGTGTCCTTGTGGGAGAATCAAACTAACCACTAAATTTCTGCAGCCAGAGTATGTCGCGGTTATTTTCTCGTACGTTCATGTTCTGCCTCTACATGCGAAACAACTGATCAAGTGAAGTGTGGAACGCGTACTCCACACACTGTTGACAAGTAGGGTTCTGCTTCATATCCGACAATATATGAAAAGGCAACAACCATCGTATACCGATGGTCTTGCAGACCTACACGTTGACCTGGATGCTAGCAAACCAGAAAACCGATTCCAACAGCGATAGACAGTATGATACACTTTTATAGATCCGGGAATGGACCACACGCCTATCCCAGTTTGTGAATAATGCACAACTAGTGTAATCAGACTCAACAGACCATTGCGAGAAATTAAATCGTGGCGTTGTTAATTTAGAATGTAGAATACATAGATTTCATCCTAGACAGAAGAACATTTATTTGTTCTCCATATCTCTTGCAACGAAACAGCTTTCATGTAAGTACCTCAAATCCGACCGTAACCACCTCGATCAAGGCTTAGGGAGTCGTCGGTTTCGAAGGTTATCGATCGCTAGCGTAGCGTTGGCGATAGGAGTGTAATCTGGTAGCATGGCATGAGTAAGGCAAAACGGAAGACGAGGTGTTCTGGCGGTGGTCATCGTAGTGACGTAGTCAGCCTTTTTTTTTCTGTTGCTCTTCCACTGTCCATCTGTGCAAGGGGGGATAACAAAAAGAAAGAGGGACAGATGAATGGAAACTCACCACATATCGTGGATTGAGAGGGCCAGATGGCACCAACCCAAAACTGTAAGAAGGAGACGGCACCAAATCAGAAGGTGTGTGTCATCGGCAATTGCCGGCGTCGAACGTTGAGCGCTTGAGCGCTTCAGCGTATGACCATGAGAAATCTTCGCTTCGACCTGCATTACGACCTACAACCTCACAATGCCCACTGGCGACGGAGCGTATAAAGCTGAGAATATCGCTTGCCAAGCTTCTCCGGATGGTCTGGGAGGAACTGAGCCGGTAAGTGTTGTGTCAAGTCCTGGCACTTTTGATTGAAAGATAAATCATATATCTTAGACGGAAAGCACTAGCTACCACCGTGACAGTGCGTATTATTCTTTGACACAGAAATCGTCAATTTCACATAGTTAACGCGCGCAGTATACTGTCGGTTATATACCAAAGGAGGCCCACTCGAATCAAACAACCCGATCTTCTCCAACGATCGCTCCATCAGTCGTATCTCGTCTAAACCACTGAGACATATGAGACCTGTTCATACGGCTGCCTCGCTGAAGAGGTACCGCTCGGGCTAATGAGATTTTGGATGACATTGACCGCCGGTTGTTACCTTCTTCCTTCCCACTGTTGAGATTGCTCTGAAACCTGTCAAGTATTGCAGCAGCACCATTATTTTCAGGACTTCGCCGCTTTCCGCATGGTCGCCGGTTCAAGCAGTGGACGGGTGATGACTCAAAGGCTCTCATGAAGGTAAAATCTTTTTCGTTAGGTATTGTACCATCACTTAAAACAAAAATAGGTTTACCTTCCAGCCATCTCGGGATATGTACCCCCCGAAATGGTGCAGTGTATCAGCGCATTTTTGGATGCCTGCTCCATTGCCCGTCGAGCCGACATCACTCAAGAATCACTCGCCGCGCTCCAAACGGCCATTGAGAGGTTTCACACGCACCGTGAAAATTTCCGTACATGCGGTGTTCGACCCACTGGCTTCAACCTCCCCCGACAGCACTCTCTTGTCCACCTCATCCACCAAATCCAGGAGTTTGGTGCTCCTGGCGGGCTATGCTCATCGATCACTGAATCCCGCCACATTACCGCTGTCAAACGGCCTTGGCGTCGTTCAAACCGCTACGAAGCGTTGGGGCAGATGCTGCTTACCAATCAACGGCTGGACAAGCTCCTTCGAGCGCGCGCGGATTTCGTCGAGCGTCGGATGCTTCCCCCTTCCCATTTGCCACCTCCAAAACCTATCATACCCCTCGGCGACGATGACGAGGACACTGGCATCATCGACGAGTACGTGACTGGGAATGTTGCACTGGCAAGAACCCGAAGTAAGTTTTTTTTCAATCTCTACTACTTTGCTGTCACTAATCCATACTTTCTAGTACGAGCTTATCCACGCCGCCTCGCTGAGTTGGCCAACCACATCGGCTGCCCTCCACTTGTTGAACTTACCCGACGTTTCCTCTATGACCAACTCCACACAGATGACGGCACCTCATCAGCCGACATACCCATTCAGCAATGCCCATATCCAACAGGCAGGGTCTCTGTCTTCCACTCTGCCGTTGCCACCTTCTATGCACCAAGCGACGAGTCAGGCATCCGGGGCATGCGAACCGAGCGTATACGGTCCACTCCATCTTGGCGCAAGCACGGCCCACGGCGCGATTGTGCATTAGTTGTTGAGGACCAAGACAAGCCGGGCATGAAGGGGATGAGCGTGGTCCGCGTGAAACTTCTCTTTTCATTCGAGTATGATGGGAAGACGTATCCGTGTGCGCTCGTTGATTGGTTCAAACGTGTGGGCGCGTCACCCGATCCGGAAACAGGGATGTGGAAGGTACGACCTGAGACATACCGAAATGGTCAGCGTGTCGTCTCCATTCTCCACCTGGACACTTTCCTCCGTAGTGCACATCTTTTACCTGTTTTCGGGCGGGATGTTCTCCCCTTCGACTTTCACTTTTCTTATTCACTTGATGCATTTGAATCTTACTACGTTAACAAATATGCAGATCATCATTCTCACGAGATTTGCTTCTAACACTACCATTGTAATAACTCCTTTAGCTTGTAGAAATTTACCTTGATTTGAGGTTTTGGCTGAATCGGGGTAGTCGTCAAAATTTGGCCTGGGTTGGGATTGAACTTGGGAGGGTTGGCAGATTTTTTCGTGTTTGGCAAGCAGCTCAAACGCGCCAAACCTCACAAGCGCCGCCAAACAATGTGCTATCTTGCTGATGACGTCTGCAAGATTGAGGGCGTGGAAGGCCCAGAAAAGAGCGCTTTGTATCTGTCGCTGTCAGGAACGAAGCCTGTGGACGATTCTGCTCGTATTACACCCAGAGGAAACTCCGGGTCAGGATCATCTGAGGTTGACCCTGTAGTTTTCGTTGTTGATAAGGGCGCCGCTGAGAAGAGACCAAAGTCTGCGAGTAATGCGGGCTCGAATGAATTGCCTGCACAGAAGATTGAACAACGTTATGGTGCGCCTTTGTGGTTTTGTTCTAAAAAATGTTTTTTAAACTCACGCTCATGATCCAGTGTATTACCGACTTTACGACGATGATGGCGAAGCTGTCTCGAAAACGTTGTTTGACGAGAGCGACTCTTCTTTGGGTCGTATCGACATATTTACCATTCCGCCACCTCACACAGTCGCTTCCTTGAAAGATCGTCTTATTCATGTAGAAGGGGTCTTGGGTCACGACATTCACTTGCTTGAAAACGAGGATGGAGAGGTTACCTTGAACGATGGCGATGCCATTGCCCTTCTCCCTGACAATTGTCCGGGCTCAAAGGAGGGTCAGCCGATAGTGTTCACATATTCACGGAAGGGTTCTGATAACACGACGGCACTGGAGACTCGTCCCTCCTTTTCGAAATGCCTTACAGCCAAGTATGGCTGGGGTGAGTGAGAATTGTAAGGAATACTGTGTTGCCTCTGATGTTGCAAGTTAGCCGGCGCGAGTTTTGATAACACATGGCATTCAGTGGCGGCTGGAGAGATCCTTCAAACAGACGGAGTTCTCAGTAATAAGCCATACGGCACTAACCGTAGTATTTCTGTCAAATTTCTGTCGGTCTTTGAGATGTTTGTTTTTACTGATCTTTCCGGGATAGAATTCCCCTGCTATGTCGGAATAAATAGTTCTGGAAAGAAAGCTTGCACGTTCCTACCGTCATCCTTTGGTTTGAGGGCGGAACTTTTTTACATGACATTTTTTTGCAGTTGTTCCCAAAAGTGAGTTTCTACCTTGCTACGGGTTAATTTGTTTGTCAATCCCCTAGAATATGTGACTTTGTCCTGAGACTTCCTTGCAATGCGTGTCCTTTTTTTTTCGATGTATATTCCAGTCATTTGAAATTAGCCTGGGTTAGGTTTAGAAGTTTCACAGGCTGATCTTTGAAAGAAAGAAAAATGGAAACCAACAACGTCTTGCTTATAACTCGAGAAAAACCCGAGTCCTAACGACTCCTCTACATGCAGAAAATTTCCCAGTCCTAGACTTTCGCCATACATACTAAGGTTTTTATCACCATATCTAATGTCTGCAAAGTAAATAACCAACCTGTCGTTCAAGAGACAATGGAGGATGAAGCGGACGAAAAGCGGACGAGCTTTGGGATGAGTGGTGGTGGGTAATTTGGTATGAAGCTCCTTCTACTTTGCCGTTTACTAGTGGAGGGGAAAGCGGGGAAGTGGAAGAAAGAGGGAGTACTTTGGAGTAGCGGATTGAGCGATGGGGGACGAACATTGATTCGGGGCGTGAGGGGTTTTGTGTGGTGGGGAGGGGGGAGGTGAGGGTGAGAATTCGCCCTCATCCGTGACGTGGAGCGACTCTCCACTGGCAGATGAATATGGTGGAGAAAGTGTGATAGGCCTTTCCATTGAATTTTTGAATGGTTGCAAGAGGGACGTGAAGATGGGGCATTCGCTGTCACGGGAAAGCTGATGGAGAACCGTTGTCCTTGGCGATGACGAGCGGCCTAATGGCTGCTCGGCAGGGATTGAACCGAGGAGACGTGAGCGCGAACCCGTCGTCTGATGTCGACAGTGTAGGTGGCAACGTGCGGAACCTCGAACTCGGGCTTGAATATGAAGATGACACAGACGAGGTGGGGGAGGCGCAAGAGGAAATGAAGAGGGAGTTAAAATGGGTGGGTGCGTGAACTTTTTGTAAGAAACGTCCGTGAGCGTTAACTTGAACGAGTCGGGGGATGGCACCAGGCTGGTAGCTGTGGTAGGGGACGAGGGGCGGGTCGTGGTGCGGAGATTGAGTAAAGATATCGACATCGAGACCGAGGCAAAGGAATGACCAACCCTTCTGATAGCATCGCCATCCCATCTCAAGTGCCTATATGCGTGCAAAACCACCTCAAAACACATACACCTTCTGCGCATTTTCTCGCCCCTCCCTTCTCTCCATTGCCAAACCCACAGACTCGGTCGTCCACTCGTTTCATCGCCTATGGCATATCAGCGGCATCTTTCCCTTCAGGCTGGATTGGTATACGTTCGAAAGACGTGAAGGAAGGTCGAT